TCTTCTTCTTATCATAGCATACCAACCAGCGAACACCCAGCCAAGTTTAGTTAGCCAGTTTGAGTATTCGTTACAGATAGAAACGTTTCTATATCATGGGTCCTACGATCGATATCGTATTATAATTATATTAATAATACGAAATCGGGTTTTAATATGATTACTAAACGCCCTAAGAGTAAACTAATATTTAGTCTAAGACTTTATTTTGTTATAACTATTTTTAATCTAAGCGTTCTACAATTGAGGACACCTAGTTATAACTGTGACGGAGCTGGATTTCATTTGACAGGATTTCATTCGCTTGGCCAAGCACGTGACGAGACTTGGCATTGGAACAACTTAAATAACTTCGCTCCTTTCAGATTCTCTTCTCTCTTTAGTTTGATTTCTTCGTACCTACGGTTTTAGTTCTAGCAATTGATTCAAAAGCTGTATACACTTTATCCCTTGTTGGCATCCGTGACAATAACGATAAAAAACCCGACTTTTCGACCTTAGTTAGAAAACTATTTAGATTAGCGATATAAACTATTTTTTTAATAGGCGAATAGAGTAATTCGAGTAAAAGAATGAGAATGCACTTACTAGAATTTTTATATTAGCCTTAGTTAAGAATAAAAGTATGTGGGGGTCGGAAAAATTAAGTAAAAATTGGCCGCTCGTTTCTGTATCAAAAAACAAGGGGTATTTTAGGTACATTTTACTAAACACACACACCCACGTGACACCCTACTTTGTATACACCCGTAGACCCTCGGGCACCCAAAGTAAAACCCGACCAAATACTAATATTTCGACTTATTTATATAGCTATTTACTACTATAATATAAACTTATAATAAGTGGTATATAGACTAACTAGACTATTCCAAAGTGATTGCACTTATCAAAATTTCTATATAGTCCTAAGTTAAGCAGCTAGTAAGTGCAATTTGTTCAGCTAATTCAGGCGCATCTTTTCGTCTATTAAAGTAACTAATAAGTGTTGTTGTTGTTATGCTGTTGTGGTGGAAGTGTCGAAGTGGTCGGAAAGTCGCGTGTTTTATCGTTACAACTGGGTGTCCTCAATTGTAGATTCTTATTCTAAAGACTTGTTATAGAATTAGGTCACGTTTTAGTTATATAACCGACCTCCTTATTTATATTAGAGATTTTCCCTATAACCCCTCTACAAAGGCCCCTATAAAGGCTCTAAAAACGTACTAGTTTTAGGTAAAAAATATCGATATCGTTACTTTTTAGATGATCGATATCGGAATCAGAATAATCTATCGCGATATTTATCGCGATAATCCGATATATATCGTTATCGTGCCCAGGTCTGCCTTCGACTGCTCTTAGATCCCAACCTCGATTAACAATGGGAAACTTCGACGGTGGGGATATATGTGAAGCAACATAAACAATATTGTTAGTTACATGGATAATTTTCATCGGTGCGTTGGTGGCTTCATTGATGGCATTTTGGTTTGTAGTACTGGGTGGGTGGAAACAACTTCAGGCTCTGGGAGTCCTTCCTGAGGGTTTTGAGTTTCTTGGGAAACTAACTACCCATGCCATTTAAGGTGTGGATTTTTGAGTGTACGGAGTTTTTTTCGAAGATATTTCCTTGAATTGGTAGTGTGCGATATGTAAAGAGATATAAAAATGGTTAGGATATGTTCTATTGCGTTTACTTGTTGGATAAAATGTCAAAATTATTATCAATTCGCTAATTCGTTGGTAATGGTATATTCTATTCGCTAATCATAGAGCTGGATAAATATAACGCTGTTCAGTTTATCTGCTCCTACTTTAGACATCGTCTTATGAATCTTTCTCTCTAGAAAAGTTATCATTTAATCATCTAGTTGACCAATACCTATAAAATGGTATTACTTACACTCCACCTTCCTTCACACCCCTAAAGCCCCAACATCAACCTCATCCCTCCTAAGTAAATAATTCAACCCTTCTTCCTTCGTCCCACCCCACCTCTCCGTCTGATTATCAATAACAGCCACATCCCGAAACCTCTCATTCAAAAACATCTTATACGAACTAGGTCTCGCAGGCGCCCAGGTCCGCCCGCCCGTTCGCGCGGAGATAGAGTTAGTATGTTGCGTCAGGATCGTGCCGAGACCTTGTTTCTGGAAGGTGGGGTGGACCATGGTTCCTTTCCTATCTTTTTCATTGAATACATGTCAGATTTATTTATTCTCGATTTGTTGAGTTGGGTTGAGCTTGGGAGTTATGAAGGAGGGGAAATGGGGAAAGTGAGAGGGGGAACAAACGATAATCTTCCTCGGGGTTGTAATCGTGGGAATTGGCACTGTACATGACTTCCAAGAAAGCATCCCAGGGTGGGATGAAGAAACCCTCTGGCCAGTAGAAATCAGAGGGGGGAGTGTGATCGTTTGCTAGGTCTTGGAGTTCTTTTGTCATGGCCGGACGGTGTTTCCAGGGGTATTGGAGGGCGGTCCATGCTATTATTCTTCTGTGTAGCGAGGTATTGTTAGTTAGGATTACTCTTCACGTACTGTACTCTCTGGTTTATAAGTTCAGTCCGCCACTTGATTTCCTCCTCCCTCCTCCCCATCCAAAAAGAACACCAAGGCCAACTACCAAAGAAATCAAAAGACCAAGTTCAGTGCAACAGACAAAAAAACAAGAAACTAACCCACTCGCCCTATCAACAATCTTAAAAGTCTCCGTATCAGGCATATCCCACCTCGGCGCCACAAACTTCATAAACCACACATGCAAATCCTCATCCCTAACATTCTTCCGTGCATGTTTCCAGACTGCATCGTTGTAATAGGCTACCTCCATCATGCGGAAGACCTCGTCCATATCAGCGGGGACGGCGGTGGAGAGCTCGTAGGCGGGATTGAGAGTTGCCATCTCGGAGGAGCTTGAGTATTTGAGGAGGAGGAAGAGGGAAGGGGAAGAAAGGGGAGGCTCGAGGGGTAAATGATGATCAGAGGCACCGATAAGGAAAAAGAAGGGAAAGAAGGGGGGGAAATATTGTTGACTGTATCGGTCAGAAAAAGGTTGGCACGTTGGTTACAGTAGATACAGAGGTACCTAATCTTACAAACCAACCCAAAACCCAACGCAATCCAACATCCTTTCTCACCCTCTCAGCTCAGCAATACATCCAGCTATCTCCATGCATGTAAGAACCATCCACTGGTAGCCTATTCATCACTTGACACAAACACCTCCGCTCAATTGGTGCGCACCAAGAGAAATCATTGAAAAGAAGTGGGGTACCAACAAAAAAAAGATGTCCAGCGTCGTAATGTCTTACTGCATATATCCCATGTATACAGTATCATGCAACAGCAGCATATTCGGAGTTATGTAACCCGTGTCATGCGGATTCGGTAATGCTACTGAGTAGTGAGTAGAATAGAAATGAACAGAGTTAACAAACCAACGAGGATTACGAGATAAAGATGGGTTCTCGCTTAAGGGTAGTAAATCCAAAGATTCTGAACCTCGCTTATGTAGCTGGTAGGTTCTAAATGAAATTTCTGGTAGTATAAGAAACCAGAGGCATCATAATACATCAATAAATCACCGGGAAACGAGCGTGAAAGCTTAACATGTCCACAGCAAAGGGCTTGAGATTTAGTCGCGACTCTGCCGAGTGCGAACGAAAGCTTCACAAGTGTTACAATTTTCTCAACAGTATTTTCAACAACCATAAATGTGCTCATTGTGTCTCATTCATCATAATTATCTCATTTACACATATGCTTATCCCATAATGACGGTATATATCTCCATTCATTCATCAGAAACATTGCAAATGCATTTTTATCGCGACTCCACACTCAGAAGATCCTCAAGCTTTGGGTTCAGCCTTGGCATCTCCTGGAAAGGGGTTATCGCTTCTTCGCTCATCTCTCAGCGCAGTAAGCTTTTCAATTGCCTCTTGCAATGGGACTGGCTTTCCTCTATCTTGACTTGATGTATCATCACGGTTTCTAACGTTAACTTCTCTTCCAGTCATCTCTTGATCACCAACAACTAGATAATTTGTTAGCGAGTATATTGAAGCATGGGTTGAAACAACTAACCAAAGATGAAATTGTACTGAGACAATTGTCCTGTACGGATCTTCTTTTGTAGAGTGTTGCCACTAAGGTCAACATCCACAAACATGTGTTGTGCTTTGAAGACTGATTGCACCTCCTTGGCGTACTCGTAAAATCCAACACCAACAGGTACAATCAAGATTTGTCGAGGACTGAGCCAGAAAGGCCACTTTCCAGCGAAATGCTCTGTCAAGATTGCGGTAAATCGCTCAATACTTCCAGCAATAGCTCGGTGGATCATGACTGGACGGGCACATCCAGGAGTGAGAGGCTTAATGACTCTCTCCTTCTTCGCGCCTGGTACTTCTGATTCTTTCTTAGCTTCTTCCTTCTTAGCCTTCTCTGCCTTAGCCTTAGCTGCAGCTTCTTCAGGATCTTCCTTTGGTTTTACAATCACCTCGGATGTCATGTACTCAAGACCAAAGTTTTGTGGAAGTTGAAAGTCAAGTTGAATAGTAGCACATTGCCACTCTCTTCTCAAGCAATCAGAGATGGTGATATCGATCTTGGGTCCATAGAAGGCTCCGTCGCCCTCGTTAAGCTCCCATGGTGTACCTCCATTGGCAACAAACTCGTCCAATGCGGCACGAAGCTTGTCTTCGGCCATGTTCCAGGTCTCTAATGCGCCCATGTATTTCTCTGGTCGTGTAGAAAGCTTCATCTTGAAAGTGAAACCCAGTAAGCCGTAGACAGCATTGAGGAAACCAAAAAGTTCCGTGATTTCATCTTTAATTTGGTCTTCTCTGCAGAAAATATGAGCATCATCCTGTTGGAATCTACGCACACGAGTCAACCCGGACAAAGCACCTGAAGCTTCATTTCGATGAAGAACACCAAAGTCAGCAACTCTCCATGGCAACTCTCGGTGACTTCTCTCGCGGTGGTCAAACATCAGACAATGACCGGGGCAGTTCATTGGTTTCAATGCAAATGTCTCCTTGTCAGAGCCAAATGTAAACATGTCATCCTTGTAGTAATCCCAATGACCTGATGTCTTCCAGAGCTCCGAGTTATACATGTTTGGTGTAATGACTTCGTTGTAACCACGCTTCCAGTACTCTTCCCTCAGAAAAGACTGAATGGTGTTGTAGATACGGGTTCCGTGGGGTAGCCACATAGCAGATCCTGGTGAAAGGTCGTGGAAGAAAAACAGCTCTTGATCTCTACCAATCTTTCGGTGATCGCGCTTAGCGGCTTCCTCCAAAAACTTCTTGTGCTCAGCCATCTGTTTTTTGTCAGGGAAGGATACACCATAAATTCTCTGAAGAGAGTCATTGTCCTTGTTGCCAAGGAAATATGATGCCGAATTCTTCATGATAGCAAAGGTCTCGATTCTGCCGGTATTAGGTACGTGAGGTCCACGACACAAATCAATAAGAGGTCCATTTCGGTAGACTGTTGTAGATTCTCCGTCCTTGATCTTATCCTTGATGATATGCTGCTTGTATTTGTTGTAGCTAAACATTTCCAGAAGATCCTCTTTGGTAAGAACAAGTCGCTCGAAAGGTTGCTTCTCCTTCACAATCTGGGTGACCAAAGTCTCCAATGGCTTCCAATCTGATGCCTGTACGGCACCACCTTCTGGCAATCCCATTTCATAATAGAATCCATCATCAATTGGAGGACCAATGCACAGACTGCATCCGAATCTTCGTTCCGAGGCCTCTCCTAATATGTGCGCACTTGAATGCCAAAACACCTTCTTTCCAAGCTCGTCGTCGAATGTGAGCAGTTCCAATTTGCAACTTGCTTCAAGAGGTCGCTCCAAATCCCAAAGTTGCTCTGGATCTCCATTTAACTTGGCGACTACTGTGCGCTTGAACAAACTGTTCGAGATGGCTTTGGCAATTTCGGCAGGTGTAGTCTCCCACGAGGTACCTGGTTTGATGCTTCCGTCTCCGAGGGTAATGGTAATCGGTTCTCGAGGTTTGGCAGCAATTTCGGCATCGAACTTGGCCTTGAGTTTGTCGAATAATTGCAATCGATCCGCAAGAAACTGCGGCTGAGGATTGAGTTCAAGTGGTCCAGCATCCCCGCTATCCACAACCTTTTCCTTCTTGACTTTCTGCTTTTGCTTTTTCTCTCCACTAACGGCGACTTTCTTGACGCCGTCGATGACGGAATCGACGGCCGCTTTTGCTTTATCCATGGTGTTGTGAATCTGTGGTTGTCGAGAATCGAGAGTCCAAGACAATCGCGGGGTTTTGAGATAGTCTCGCAGTGACTCGGTGGGTGAGTAATTTTGGCGGGACACTGGCGCCGGTGTGGGGAGGAAGATAAGTGGGTCCCCGCTTTTTTTGGTTTATCGACGACCCCCGTCGCTAGAAATTTCTCAAGCTTCACTGTAAAAACCACCCACCCAACAAATCAGCAAAAATGTCATTTAGAGGCGCCCCACGAGGTCGCGGAACTGGCGCAAACTCTGGAGGATTCGGAGGCAGAGGAGGCGGTGGATTTGGAGGTCGTGGAGGTAATTTTTCCAGCTCTGCGATCGATCGCGAAATATTTTTCTTGGAGCTCTAGCTGATGTGAGGTAGGACGCGGTGGATTCCAAAGAGATAATGGACCTCCAGATGCTGTTCACGGTATGATTCATTGGATGGTCAATGGGTACGAGCTCTTCTAATACGATTACAGAGATGGGAACTTTCCTCCATGCTTGCGAAGGAGAAATTGTGTGCGAATCAGTAAACACCAAGATCCCATACTTCAATGCGCCAATATATCTCGAGAACAAGGTACGGCTTTACATCCTGCGTCGTGAGTTCGGATTCGAATACTGACAATTTCACAGACCTCAATTGGCAAAGTGGATGAAATTCTAGGTCCTATCAACCAGGTAAATCGACGTACTTTCGAAGCTACCAAGAGCAAACAGCTAACACATCAAAGGTCTATTTCACCATCAAGCCAACCGAGGGTATCCAAGCTGCATCATTCAAATCTGGAGATAAGTTCTACATCGGCGGCGACAAACTACTTCCTCTCGAGAAATTCCTCCCCAAACCCAAACCACCACCAGGAGCACCAAAGCCAAAGAGAGCTGGAGGACGAGGAGGTAGAGGTGCACCAATGAGAGGTGGCCGGGGAGGTGGAAGAGGGGCACCAAGAGGACGAGGTGGATTCAGTTCCGGTGGAAGAGGCGGTGGCCGTGGAGGTGGAGGATTCTCACGAGGTGGAAGCGGTGGGTTCTCAGCAAGAGGTCGCGGTGGTGGCAGAGGTGGATTCTCCCGTGGACGAGGTTAAACGATCGTCTCATGCTGGATGTGTAAACTTTTTTGGGCGTTAAGGTGGCACTGTTGCGTTGCTGTCAAGGGATTACTCTAGGATTTTCATAAGGTCATCAAAGAAGTGAGAAGATTTACATGGCAAAGGGTGTTATTGAAGTGAGAGTGATGGTTTCCTGCCAGCACAGCCCATTCCAAACTCGGATTGGGAGATATATGCTAACAGCCAAGTCTACTTTATCTGTGTTTATATGAGGCCCCATTACTCTGATAAGGGCAAGATTCAATTTAACAATATGAGCACCATCAGTTCAAATCCTCGAAGGGACATTAGGAACTAAAGTTGAATTTCCAACAGAATGTTGGTTTCGCGGAAGTAGAGAGCTTTATAAAGTGTCTCAACACCGGACCATCAACTAAAGAGGTATCATAACGACATTTTCCCGTATTCCAGGCATTCACAACCTTCACTAAACCTCGTACACACCCAATAGAGCCTTTCCCCAGCTCAGTCTCCCAGCTAAACCCCCGCACCCATAGCCCCCTTGAGCAATAACCCAAACTAAGGTTTTGGGATATGTATGCTCTTGCTAGTCATCATGACTCCACTAGCCACGAACAAGAACGCAACGGGATGGAATTCAAACATGGTCCCCGTAGCCCAAGTCCCCATTGGCAAGTTCTCCAAAGTCCAACCCTGATTAACCCAATAAGCCATCAACGCAGCAATCGACAAGGATGTAGGAATAGGCGTGCCCTCGAAATACTTGGATTTTCCGGTCTCGTCTTTTGGTACGTTGGCGACTGTGATGTTGAAGCGTGCGAGACGGGTAAGGCCGCAGAGAACGAAGAAGGTAAGGAGGAGGTGATCGACTGGTGTGCGGAGACCAATGGCGAATGCTGCGGCTGCTGGGGAGACACCAAAGGAAATCTGTAGAAATTCATGTTAGAATTTGATTTGGTAGTTTGAAAGGGGGAACAAACAAGATCAGCAAGAGAATCAAGTTCTTGGCCCATAAGGCTAGACTTCTTCCTCCATCTCGCAACCTTCCCATCCATGAAATCGAAGAACAATCCAAACGGCATGAACGCCAGAGCAGCCCATAGATTCCCATGTGCATCTGCATCCCCGAGACAATATCGCATGGAAGAGAATACCGACATGACTCCGCAGAATCCTAGATAGAAATTAGCATTGCTGTCTGCTGCTATCCAAAACGATGAGGTGCTAAAGGACTACATACCGTTCAGCTCTGTAATCAGATCGGCGAGATGCAACATTCGAATCATAGAGAAATGTCTCGTGTCTTCCGCAAGCAACTGCTTCTGCTTCTCCACATCTACCACCCGTTAGCATCGTCCATGGATTTTCCAAGTTTTGAATGAATGGTGCAAGACATACTCGGTTCACCGACTGCATCCTTCGTCGCGCCATTCGAGGCAGCGGCATGTGTTCTTTTCGACATGTTGTATTCCCTCAACTGTGTCTCGCAAACAAGATTTCTAAGGATGTAGGAGGGGAAAAGGTGGTTGTTGTGGTAGGGAAGTCGGAGGAGTTAAGTTGTGAAGGTTGTACCTCTTTTCATGAGGGTCGGGCGAGCAAGCAACGTCATGGGGAAAAATCCTGGCTTTTTCAGCCACAAGCGAATCGATGGATGAATGGTCGGGTGAGCCACCCGATGATTCGCGCTCTTGCTGCGTGGGTTTGACCATTCAATGGTCTGGACTTGGCCATTTTATCCATTTGGGTGGCTAAACAGGATTTTATGTCCAGCATGTGCTCGATTAGGTAGGAATACAACTTCTGGGAAGGCAAAGATAAATAGGTAATGTGCAATGAAAGTAGCAGTAAATAGCCACTATCAATATCATTCTGATTGCCTGGAGCATTTCAAACTCTTAATCAGGATTGTTTGGAAAAAAGGGTTCAGTTGTAGAATGCTAGTAAGGAACCATTACTTGTACCTCTCGTTTGCTATCTTCCACATACTGCAATCAAGAGAGGGAGAAAACAAAATCACAGCAACCCAAGTACATTTCCCAACAATCATTTATGTATATTCCAGAGTGTGATCAGTCGCTGTTGTATCCATAAATCCCTTACAAAGCATGACAGAAGAGTTCGTACCTTCACTCCATCAAACGCTGGGTATCATATCCATCCACTACCCAAATACCAAATCCAGGTACCCAAGTTGCCCAGAACTCCAATAAAACGCCCCCAAGAACGGTACATGTACTTAATCATAACGACTCTTTGCGTCATCCTCCTGAAGATTCCATGGAGTTGTCCCATCAACAAGCGCAGCGAAGTTACCTCTCTTTGAGCTGGAATGACCCCAAGGTCTTCGTGATCTCATAGTGGCTCTATCAATGGCTTCAGCGAGATTCCTAGAAACAGTTAGAAAATTGTTATTGAATATATTAACCTGTGACATTAGGACGTATGAGAAGGAAAAGAAGAAAGGTCCTGGGATATCTGGCGTATCTACTGAATGTTATGAAGGTGGTTCATATGCTTACTCGGGAGAGCCTTTTGTGACATAGCCCTGTGCTTCTAGTTCATCCGCCAATTCATCTTGGTGGTTGTCCAGAAGGGAGTCATTTGGTACCACAACAAGAGGGACGCCAAATCGCATGCCATCCAAAATTGTTCCTGATCCTGGTATAAAAATTAGAAGATTAACAATAAAAAAACAGAGCTTAACATACCAGCGTGACAAATGATGAGGCCCTCCTCTGAAGGAGTAAGCCCATTAATTGAACCTCCATCAGGACCAGGATTGGCTCTGCACTTCTTCATGTAATGCGCCAAACCATCTTTGTCAAAATTAAAGTGGTTGACAATAATGCCCTTTGTGTCTTGAAGTCTGATTCGCTTGAAGTAGTCCTCTAAATCTCCAACTTGGACAGTTAGATGTGTGTACCCAAGTTCCTTGAGTTTGGTAAGTGTTTGTTCAGAGACTGCAGCTGCTACTAAATCCTCAAATTTGGCTGTAGCTCCAATTGTGACAAAGCATTCGCGACGCATATCGCTGATCACTGCTACTGGTGACAAATTGCTGTGCAATACTCTCCACTGTTGATGTTACCGAGAAAGAGTAATAGAAAGTGTGCAGGGAGCAATAGAGGGGTGGAGGAAACGTGGGGAGCACTTGGCCCCTTGAGATGGTGTTCTTGATGATTTCCAAGAATGAGTAACTCGTGGAAAGAAACGAGGTAGATGAGTCTGCTCTGAAGAAATGATGCAAGAGTACTCGCAGTTGGAGTAAGTGAATCAGGTGGGGAGGGAGAAATCCTTGGCGGTAATCTTATACTGCTTATCGATAAGACATCGGACTTGGTGTGCGCATTTCTTCATGCACAGGGCAGCTAGTCTAGAACCTCAGATCTCACAATTTTTGAATTGTACTCGACAGTCAACAACCACCACCCAATCCACCAGCCATGGCAACGGCTATACAAGGCTTCCGCCTTACAGCAAGGAACTGCGCTCGGGCAAGCTTTTCACAGCGCCATGCGATACGAACAAATGCTCAGCTGAGGGGGTTTTCCACCACTCAATGGAACCAGGCCCCATCCGATACAAATGCCGCGATGAAAAAGGCACAGGAGGCTTCTGGAGTCGACTTGAAGAAGCTGGAGGCGGAATTGAAAGAGTCCAGAAAGGATATAGAAGAATACCTCGAGGCCGATGTCGATTTTGGTCCCTCGCCTCCGGATCTAGCGTTTAGAGGAAAGAAACTCAAAGAGACTTTTTTGAATATGGGAGAGCAGGAGCCATTTGAGGAAGATATGTTTATTGAGGATGATGAGGATGATATCTCGTCGATTGCTCATGGGGAATTGGAACAACACCGGGAATTCAGACACTATGCCAGATTGGCGGCTTGGGAAATGCCAATGTTATCAAGTGCGTAGCTAGTTGGACTTGAAATTATGTAGGTTTGGCTTGCTGACGTGTTATTGTAGAATTGTCGAAACCTTTCGAAGTTCCAGGAGCGGATATGCCATTGCGGTTCAGATATACCACATATATGGGCGAAAGTCATCCAGCTGAGAAGAAAGTCGTTTTGGAGTTTTCGCCATTAGATATGCCTGATTTGACAGACTTACAAAGAGACAAAATGAGAAAGCTGCTGGGGACCCGATACAACCCAGAACTAGACACAGTACGAATGAGCTGTGAAATGTTCGAGACACAGGCTCAAAACAAGCGCTACTTGGGCGACTTGGTTGATTCTCTGCTCGCGGAAGCAAGGGTATGGTCTCTTCTTCATTGAATGTGTCTTCTCTAACGTATACTAGGATCCTACCGATACATTTGCAGATGTTCCTTTAGATACTCGACATCATCATTTCAAGCCAAAACTCCGATTCCCCAAAGAATGGGAGATGACTGAGGAAAGACGAAATGCCCTGGAGGACCATCGCCAAAAGCAAATTTCGAAGGATCAACAATTAGAGCTTCAAGGGCAATTGGTGGATGGTGTTGAGCAGATCAAAGAGGCATTATTAGCAAAGCCCGTTGAGACGGTTGTTCCTGAAATGGTCACAGCAAGAAAAGGAAGCAGAGCGGGTGGAGGAAAGAGATTGGCGGTTAGGAGGTAGCGACCTGCTGAGAAACGATATAATGATTGGTGTAAGATATTGTACAGACAGGGAGTTGAAGATAGAATAAGCATTTATGATACCACGTTCAGCACCATCTAAGCGACAACTTAAGCCTAATCTTCACAAAAACAACTTTTAAACCAGCTACAAGGATCTAGTTTAAATTGTCAAGGTTCTTACTGTACTTGAATACATGATTGATTGTACTTCAAAATATGATTGGGAGAAGAAATATAGCCACGAAAATGTCCCCTCAGTTCGCCTACCTGATCAAGCGAGCGAGGCGGGGGCGGGATCGCTAGATTATGCCAAGAACTGTCCCACAACTCAATTGCAGTGGGCGGCGGGACGGACGAAAGTCTCCTCACAAGCTACCTCGGCGGTAACATTCACAGTAGTCCATTAGTACTCTACGCTCAGCATCGCTTTCGCTTTCGCTTTCGTCGGACTTTACTCCTACCTGATCTTATAATCTTGTGGTTAGATCCGTTGCACGAGCAGACCCTTCCTTCAGTTCAATTGATATTCTGATCGGAGTGCAAGTCAACCCGTCCGCCGTTCAGAAATCTACATAAAAGGTAGCTCCAGCTAACGAGGTAGAGCTCGGCTTCCAGAGCTTTTGACGTCAAGCCAAGGACGCCCATCGCAACACTTATTTCTTAGCTACACATTAGCTGTTAGCTACACGCTTGAGAAGGACTAGATCTGTCATACCGCTACATTCCCAAAGTCAGTATTATGTTTCTAATCTCTTGTCGAGTTGTACCAGCCAGGTTATGCACGTCGCAATTGTGCGAGTGCAGGTGCTTGTACTTCATCACCTTTACTCGAGTACCATATATGATTTACCCCTCGGGTTCGAGTACTGTACCATGAGGGGATACTGCCATTGGCTGCCTCTACGGCAGCAGCAGCAGCAGCTTCCAACAAGCTTGCAGTCCTCGCATGCAGTAGCAGTACCTAGACCAAAAAGGACGGGAAGGTACTTCCGAGGCTGTTACTGACCAACCTCACAATTGGAGCCCTTCCGTCCCTTTCTACTCGACCAATTCTCTTTCATTTCTTCTTGCAAACTTATCTGGTCTGCCTGCTATATACTACCTGTCCACTAATCACCTCAACAGAACCACCACCATGTCGAGCATTAAGATTGCCCCTTTCGAGACGACTCCCATTGAGTCCATCTCCAGCACCGTCAACCAATGCAAAACCACTTTCCGTTCCCAAAAGACAAAACCCCTCCAATATCGATTGACACAATTACGAAAGCTGTATTGGGGTATTGTCGATAACAATGATGCGCTTGTCGAAGCATGCAAACAAGACCTAGGAAAACCCGTCCACGAAACATACATTTCCGAGATTGAATGGTGCAAGAACGATGTCATATTTGTGACGAAGAACTTGGCCAAATGGATGAAGGACGAGAAGGCACCCGACATTCCCTTGACCAACTCGTTGTTGAACCCAAAAATTCGAAAGGAACCGCTTGGCACAGTCCTCATTCTGGGAGCATACAACTTTCCTGTTCAATTGTCACTTGGTCCATTGGTTGGTGCCATGGCTGCGGGCTGTACAGCTGTTTTGAAGCCTTCAGAGGTATCACCAGCAACCGCAATGGTCCTCCAAAAGATCGTCCAGGAATACCTTGATCCCAGTGCCTATTCCGTCGTTAATGGTGCCATTCCAGAGTCCAATGCGCTACTCAAAGAGAAGTGGGATAAAATATTCTATACTGGAGGTGGGACTGTCGGAACTATCATCGCGAAGAAAGCCGCGGAAACGCTAACTCCTGTTTGCCTCGAACTTGGAGGCCGGAATCCAGCTATAATCACCAAGAACGCCGATCCTCGTCTCGCTGCTCGTCGAATGTTGTGGGGAAAGCTCCACAATGCTGGCCAAGTGTGTATCAGCCAGAATTATATTTTGGTTGAAAAAGAGATCCTGCCCCAGTTCATTGAGCAGTTGAAAATTGCTTTGGCCGAGTTTTACCCCAAAGGACAAAAGATCAGCCCTGATTTCGCAAGAATTGTCAATGCCAGACATTTTCAGAGAATTAAGAAGATGGTTGACGATTCACAAGGAAAGATTCTTATTGGCGGAGAAATGGATGCATCAGAGAATTTTATTGAGATTACAGTAGTGCAAGTCAAAGATACCAATGATTCTATGATTGTTGATGAATCTTTTGGTCCTTTGATTCCTCTATTGGCTGTTGATGATATTGAGCAGGCGATTAAGACTGCTAATGCGGTTGATTCAACACCACTTGGCTTATACGCATTCGGTACTAAGAAAGAGACTGACAAAAGTAAGTTGATCCAGCTTTCCCGGGGAATGATCAGATGGTTTGTAAATTTGATTATTCTCCATATTGTTTATATTCAGCAAACAGCTAACCATGAACCAAAGTTCTCAATGAAGTGACCTCTGGTGGTGCATCTGTGAATGATGCATTCTTCCACGGTTCTATCCCCACCTTGGCCTTTGGCGGTGTCGGACATTCCGGACAAGGTGCATACCGTGGAAAATCATCATTTGACTGCTTCACGCATCGTCGCTCAGTAACGACCACCCCAGGTTGGATGGAATCCATGCTTGCTGTTCGTTACCCACCTTATACAGAGGCCAAGACCAAACAATTCAAACAAATGAGTTCGAAGAAGCCCAACTTTGACCGTGACGGTAACGAAATCAAGGGGCTCTTTTACTGGCTCTCTTTGTCAGGTGCTTTGGGCTCTGAGAGCCCATCCGCTGCCTTGACCAAATGGGCGTTGGTGGTTCTATTTGCGATTGGTGCGAAGCGATATGTGGATACAGGTGTTTTACCTTCTTTGGCAGATCTTCCTTTCTGGAAAAGGTGAGGGGGTGATTGTTGGTTGTTGGAGGGCAAGACGAGGTTGTATTATAGGCTTATGGGATGAATCTATTGGGGACACGGTACCATGGAGCTTAGTGGAGGTGGAAAATGGAAAATGGGAAATGGAGGGGTTTGTGAATAAATGGGGTGGGTTCCTTTTGTTGATGGGCGGTTGCCGGTTGAGTCCACGGGTAGTACTAGTAGGCTTGGTGGTAATTATCATTTTGTTTCTCTCGATCGGAATTGTGCTCCAGGCTGGTAACATTTTTTTTTCTGGTCATTCGTGGTTATTGGAAATGTTGGGGAGCTTTACCTCATTTATATGACGACCCCTTACACATACTGTAACCTTGCTTTAACATCTATCCTCCTCCCTTTACGACAACTACAAGTACTTTGGAAGATTTAGAATCATATAAGGCGGTAGGCATTCTTGTGTTGTCTTGTCTTGGGGTGGTTAGGTGTAGTTTCTAGGTTATACGGAGGACGCGGTCAAAACTGCGGGCCCTATAGGGTCTGAGCCCTGAAACTAGGCCCTATTTAGTTAGCGTACTCCTATAGCTAAGTTTAATAGGCGCTAGGGGGGTACCAGGGGCCCTACAGGTCTATAACAGGGGCCTTATAGGGGTAAAATAAAGGGGCTAGCTCGGCTAAGTACTTTTAAGGGATAAAAAAGGAGGTAATTTATACACGTTTCTAGTTAAATATAACGTAAAGGACTTTATTAAAAGAGTATAAAATAAAGGAATTAGTAAATTCTAGGCCTTAGTTTACCCTTTTTATAGCCTTTCTTATACTTATTCTTTTCTTTAAGTTTAATAACCTTCTTTATATACTTTAGAATACGCTTAATCTAAACCTAAATTCGTTTTTGTTATATAGTATATCACGTGTAGTACTCTACCGCCGTTATAGTAGAGCTTGTCTAGGCATTAGCCGAGGGGCATGCGCGCTAGTCTATATAAACCCGTGCTCCCTCTTACTTAATTCTATAAGCTTTTAACTTAATATAACTACTTCTTTCATAATCTTATTACTCTTACTCTTTACCCTCTAAACTTATTATAATTCCTATTATAATCGGCTAACTATAAGGCAAATTATAGTTATAAGCCTAGTCTAGTGCCTAAAGTTTAATCTAAAGTTTAATTCTACCTTTTACTATTTATTAGTAAATATTAAATATTACTCTTATAATACCGAATATTAAATCTATAATAAGATTTCCTCTCTCCCTCTTTTAATCTAATTATTATAGTATATATTAATACTTCTACTCTTATAATACCGAATATTAAATCTATAATAAGATTTCCTCTCTCCCTCTTTTAATCTAATTATTATAGTATATATTAATACTTCTACTCTTATAATACCGAATATTAAATCTATAATAAGATTTTCTCTCTCCCTCTTTTAATCTAATTATTATAGTATATATAATATATTAATACTTCTTTATTAAACTTCTATCTAAAGCTTTATTTAAGTAAGGACTAGAATCTATAGTACTCTATACTTAAGTAACTCGTAAGCTCTAAGCTTATTTAGTACTTGGTTAACCCTAATACGCCTAATACTTTAAACTTTAAAATTTATAAGCTTATTCTTTATATTAAGGATACTTTAGCTTATAAAGACTTTTGTAAGTTTAAAGAAACTACTATATACTAGGGATATACTAAATCCATAGAGGATTAAGAGAAAAATCCTAAGCTAGTTAATAAGCGTAGGCTACTACTAGATTACCTACTAGTTCTAGAGGTTACGCTAATTAAGATAGTAGTACGCTCCTTTATACTTATCTAAAACTAGTATAAGCTAGAAAAGTAGGAGCGCTAAGATACTTAGAAGTCGATTAAGGAAATTAATTAGTATATATTGTAACGAATACTCAAACTGGCTAACTAAACTTGGCTGGGTGTTCGCTGGTTGGTATGCTATGATAAGAAGAAGACTATCGGGTTGTTCACTTGGAAGTGAACTCGTTACTTGTATCAAAGATGTCAAA